CCGCCGTAGTCCTGGACGGGTCCACCGTACCCGCCGCCGCCGCCACGGCCGCCGTAGTCTGAGCCGCCGCCACGGCCGCCGTAGTCTGAGCCGCCGCCGCGGCCGCCGTAGTCGGATCCGCCGCCGCCGCCGCCGCCCATGTAGCGGTCCGAGACGCCGCCGTAGCCGCGGTCGGCGCCGCCGCCGTATCCGCCGCGATCCGAGAGCGGCGCGGCCATCCGGGAGCCGCGCATCGGCTCGGCTGGCGGCAGGCCGCGCGGCTCGGGCACGTACCCTCCGCCGCCGCCGCCACCACCGAACGCCGCCGGCGGCTCGGGCAGCAGCGGCGCCTTCTTGACGGGCGGCACGTCCATCTCCTGGCCGGGCCCGGGCACTGTGTAGTCCCAGCTGCGCTGGTCGTTACGGCTCACGTTCAGCCGCTCCGGCTTGGCGAACTCGATTTTGAGCGTGCAGCAGCCCGAGTAGATGTCGGCGCCGTTGAGCGCCTCGCGGACGGCGCACGCCGCCTCCACCGACTCGAACTCGATCATCGCCTGGACGCCGTTCTTCTGGAAGATGACGATGCGGATGACGCGCGCGTGCGGCGAGCAGATGGTGTGCAGAATGTCCACCGTGATCGGGTACACCGGGTTCATCACGGTGAACAGCAGGATGTGGTTAGGCGGCATCGGTTCGAAGTCCTTGCGCTTGCGCGGCGGGCCGTGTCCGCCGTGCATGCTGTCGCCGTGGCTTCCCATCTCGTCGGAGCGATGCCTCTTGCCGCCGTAGCCTTCCATCTGCATGCCGTTCATGCCAGGCCGGAGATCTGCAAGGACGGACGGCCGGTCGACACACGCTCGCTCTCGGGACGGCTCGGGTCGGCGCGCAGTCCGGCCAGAGTCGGGCGGGTCACCTTTCCCGCACCGGCGGCAGATGTTGCTGCTCCCGTCCGAGAGTCCACACAAACACACACAATAACATAGAGAGCAACCATTGCAAAACTGTTACCAACTCACTACAAGCCAATTTTATTCTACCCCTTAAATATTTGAATGATGTTTGATCCCTTCCCAGCCAGCAATTCGCTTGGGCTAAACTATGGCAAACGTCGGGCAGCTTGGGCTTAGCTTGGGTTTTCCCACTTAGATAAAAACCAATGCATTTTTTACTTGGGCTGAGCTTGGGCATGCCGCAGCTATGCCCCAGTGTGGCCAGCTGCAGCTCAGCCCGTCATCCGCCCGCGCATCCAAAGCAGGCTCAACTTGGGCGGAGCGCGGGCTGATCAAGCTGGCTGTCTCCTTTGGCTAACTGCAGTAAAGCCAGAGTTTAGCCATGCTTGATCGGCTGTTCACGCATGCGCATTTCTACGCCAGTCACGTTTTGGTCGGGCTTACATCGGGCTACCGCCAATCGTCGCTCAACTAGGGTTTAACTACGGTTGTCCGGAGCTCGCAGAGCGGGCATACCTCCGGCAGAGCATGGGCTTTAGTCGGCGTTTTTGTGTCATACGCCGACTTTAGCCCAAGCCCTAGCCGACTTTAGACCGACTAAAATCTCGGGCAAGCCGCACTTTAGCCTGCTTGGGCCCGGAGTGAAATTGCTGGCTGGGTTGACATCGCTATGATCCTAATTGTCCTATGACATCATAAATAGTATTGTAAGTTAATCCTATGTTTATCCTATAAAAATCTGGCCCAATTTTATTCTTTCAGGCATATGATAAGTACCTGAGAACATTCTATGATGCAATGTAAGTAATGAGAACATTCTTTGGAATTGGCGCGTCTCTGAACGACTTGGGTTTCCCTCCTTCTCACTCCTCTCCTAAGAGCAAGGCTGAGGAAACCCAACAGGTGAGTTAAACAGGTGAGTTAAACCTATGGTGGAAAACAAGCCTCATAATGATGGGCATAATTTTTGCACCCTAGGTTACTTGTGGTCAGGTGAAGCTTATCTATGTTTTGTATAAAAAGTATTATAAGTATCAATGTGTGATCTCACTTGTTAAGCTTAGGATGTGTGCTTCCTACCATGTTCTAATTTTGCCAACTTGTCCAGTTTAAGAGGGTGAAAAAAGGGAAAATGACCTTCAAATTCAGTAGGCGGAACTATGGTCAAGCGTACCCATTTTCGGGAACGCATTTTCGTTCCCATGTTTGGGAACGATAAACCCAAATATGGGAACGCCATGTAGGCATTATTTAAAACAAGAAAAAGAACCGTTAAATGACGTCCAAAAAATATAAAACGATCGTGAACCGCCTGATATTTGCCTCAATATTGTTGGGAAAGAGTTTGATATTGTAAGGCCCATCGTAGTTTCAAATCGTTCCCCTATTTCTAAAGCAGTCCATCATCCGGGCCGCGAGCCCAAATTTGGGAACGCTCTCGTACACTGGCGCTGCAAGCGTTCCTTATTATGGGAACGGCGTACCCAAAATTGGGAACGATTTCACCGACGCCTTTCAGGGGCTCTTTTCATTAACAAGCATCACGTCCAACGCCGCAAATTATTGTTAACGCAACAATCATCAGATGACCTTTCCGGCAAGACCGTCGCATGTTTCGCCCGGTCTTCTGCGCTTTTATTCCCGTCGATCTCGCAGCGGACACGCCCCCCTCTGCAGGATTACGTAATTCACAACGCTCAGCGATGTTCAACAAGGTCTTCCATACCTATATCCACCGTCCGCGCTGAGGGTGGAGACATGTCAAGCACCTGTCTGTTTATCACCGATAGTTGACGAGTACAAGGAAGTATCCAAAAATGGGAACGCTGAATATGTTACACCCTCAAAACACCTAGTCCCAATGAAAATCTAGTTTTTTCCTTTCTTGATGAGTGTAAGTGGCAAAAGGCCTGGTAGGATGGGCACGAGGAATTATCGAAATCAGCATAAAAATTATAAATAAGCCACACAGAGCCAGCTATATAAGAGAAATTCCCCCAAAACGATCACGCTTAGAAACACGGAAGACAAAAACCACGCTCATGACGCTCCTTATAAAACAACTCTAAACAGCTAGCATCCAAATAAAATATGTCTTTCCGGGATGATAAAATACAGCTGGATAATTTTCAACCGCTTAAACTGAGTTTACAACAGTAGCTCGGTAAATTCACTCACGTTCCACGCGGTCGTCCGCCCCGACACAAAAGTCAACAATATTACCTCGGGACCGTCCGCGTCTTCGCTTGCATTTGTCAGCATCTGGTGTCGATAGTATGAAAGTTCATAACCAGGCGAAAATTATTATACTTTACCTCAAACTAAAAAATGCTTCATTTTCTTTAAAATTGCATGCTAAATGTCGTATAACCCATATTTCCACCATTCTGTCATTTTCAAAAAATCATTAAAAATATCATTCCACGGTCAATTTCCTTGTTCCACGGTCAGATTAAAGATAACTTTATGGAGATTTAGTAGATACTTTAATCAGCGTGCACTTTTTTGAGACGTGATGCACTTTTGAGTTTTAGTGGGAGAACGGCCGAAAAATTGCCTTCCGTTCTCATAAATGGGAACGCCCGTTCCTATATTTGGGAACTCCGTTCCCAAAAATGGGAACGTTCCTATATTTGGGTACTCATGACCATAGTTCCGCCTACTGAATTGATTCATGGACTTGTTTGAACTTCTTTCAGGACTTGTTTGAATTTGTTTCATAGAGTAAATAACAAATCAGTCAGTGTGTCTAGATGTGATCAACTGATATGAGAATGATAATTGCATATTTCAACAGTGGCAAGTAGCTTTCCTGTCATGCATTCTCGCATTGCTGCACCCTGTTAATTACATAAATTTAATTATTTACTAAGATTTTTAACAAGATTCCCATTAGCATCCATGTATCAACTACACAGAACGCCAAATTAAGATCACTTTCCGCACAGTCTGAGCATTCAGTGTTAACAATAACTGACAGTCCATTAATTTAACCAATTGTGCAAAATCAATCTTTAAATACATTTGAATGCTTAATGTTTTGAAATCATTAGAACCAAACCTACAAAAAAAAAATGGAGAGGGCAGACAAGCTCGAGAAACACAGGACCGCTCGCTTGAGCGGCTTGAGCCTTGGGAACCGCTGCAGCTGAGGCCGTGGGTCCGTGGGTCCCAAAGTTCAAGCTTTCAAAAATAACATCAACATTGATTGATACATACCGATGCGTTTAGGTCGTTTGCTTGTTTTGTGCCTTCGAAGATAATAATTTCCTTTAAAAAACGTACAAATCCGGCTATAATGACACCCAATCACACCACAACCGAAACGTCAACAAGAAAAGACTGTCGGGACGCCGGACACATTTTCAGTAACTTCCGGTAAGGGATGGTCGACAACCTAAAGTCACATGACCTATTGGAAATATATAAGATATTCTTTTTCTAAAGTTTGATAACATTTCTAAAAAACGATTTATTTGCTGTTATCTTAAATATGGAAAACGGTATACGATCTTAATTGAAACAAATAATGATAAATTACTCTAGAAAATATCTCATTTTTTAAACCCACGTGATCAACCACCAGGGATAGATATAAAAATGTTGTCTATACGAATGTAGCGCATTGGAACTATTGTAATATAAATAAAGGTGTTTTGGCCTATATCACCAATAATTCCACTTTTTTGAAAAATTACATTTGCGTGGGTTTCCCTATTCTGCCTTAAAAAGTGGCCACCGATCTCGCTTCACGAGCCGGAAAGCCTCCTCGCGAGGCCGAGGATATTGATATATAAGGCCACTAAAAAAAGGCCCTATATCAGTCCCACGCACAAGGGGGAAAAGCTCAAATTATTGAGCGCTCAAAATATTGAGCGTGTGACGTCAGAGGCTCCCATAGGCGTAATGCTGGGGGCTCAAAAAATTGAGCCGTTTCAGGAACACGTTTTGCAAAAGCAACTCGCAACACCTAGGGAGAAATGGCAACACCCTAGGAGAATCACTAATGATGCAAAACAGATTAGGCTTTCATATTTTTCACTGCTCAAGCTTCAATGATTGGGGGAACACCAATTTCTAGGTCGAAATCTTACGGCATACCAGGATGCCTTAAAAACAGGCCAATATTTATGTCGAAATAAAAGTTATTTTTTGTCCATTCACGTTTTTTACTAGGGTTCTGTTGGAAAGAGCATTTTTCATACTACCCAAAATGATTGCGACTCAATTTCACATTACCCATATCGGAGAATATTTTTCATTTGGCGGCGCCGTTTGTTTATTTCGTCGCGACGTCTCCGGTCGCGTGGTTGTCGTCGTCCTTGTGTTGAAGGTAAGTTTTTATCGTTTTAGTTATACTTAGATGTTAAAAGGTACACTGAAAAGTTTAAATATGCTGTGATTTTAAATTTGGAAACACGTAAACGTCAATCAATTCACGTTTTCCTCGATTTGCGTGCAGATAAGTAACTGTCGACGAAAGTGGCGCCATCCGATATGATGTTTTGAGGGAAAGAGACACAACATATTTACGTGAAAATTTATGTTTTTTAGTGGTCTAAGTGCTTCAAATAGGCTGTGAATGTTTTCTTTACACAATTTTTCATTAGGTATGATGAGGTAAAAGGTAGTTTCAGTCTTAACTTTCATATAATTGACCTTAAAACATATGATAGTCCACTGCTATCAGTGATTGAGTACCTTGATATTTGGCATTTCTTATTAATTTGAATGTATTCTCTATCCATATGTCCTGATAGTAAGTGACAATACTCTGCCAATATGTTTCCATAGTTTTCACATTCATTTTCCAGTCCTTTACATAACATCACAATTTATAATCAACAAAACTCAACTCCTTCGTTACTTCACAACACTGACAGCATGACAGACTGACAGTCACCTATTGTGTGTGTGAATGCTGAAACAGGATAGCCACTTTGCTGACTGGCTCATTTGAAATAAGATAAAAATGATCCTTTATATCATTTCCATCTGGAGGATCGGAGTCAATGGAAAAGGAAGGCCACTTTCAAGCCTCAAGGTCTAGGCTGCCAGACACCAGTCAGCAGTCACCACCAAATTTATAATAGATTAATTCATTATTATACTTTGAGACCCTTAGGTCACTGGATCGGCATCACATTTTCAGTTTCAATATAGTAAAGGTTTTTATTTGTATGATGTGAAATATTTTCCTGAATCAGAATTTAATTATCCCTAGGTACCTGGTAGAGGTTTCGGATTTAATACTCATTGTTGGTGTGCAGCCAGGATTTTTTGACAGGTCCAGATAGGGAATCCTGAGCAATTTTATAGTAAAGTGGTCTCCTTATAATCACCACACATTTTATCAAAAGCATTTGCAGAATTCATTCAAGGAAAGGAAGAATTTTATCAATGTTGCACCCATTTCTTAGACGACCTGGCTGCATCTTTTTTAGCTCCTGTTGTATGACATATTTTCCATTTTGTTCCACTGCATAAAGAAAAAAAATCGTTTGAGATCACCAAACAGCTTTTCTTTTTCTGGCAGGTCTGCACAACCAAGCGGTCGCTGGCGAGGACGTCGGCCGTCCCTGTGGGTAAGGTCATCTGCTCAGCCTTTGTGGAGATCAGCAAGACGTCACCAAGATGAAGACTTCGCTGGAGCAGAAGCCGCTGACCCGTGTCCGATCGGGCAGGTCATGCTCGATGGCACGAGCCACAACTTGAACGACTCGGTGACATCAACAAGATGGTGGAGCAGGTGAATGAGTTTGGCGACGTGTTGTGCGACTGCAAGAAGGGTTGTCTGCGTGTTCTGGCCGGCGGAGCGGCGACGCTGCGCAGTCTGTGCTGGTGGTGAGCAGCTGGCCGTGGTGACCGCGGGCGCCCACATGCGCCGACAACCTGTGCGGCTTCGACGGCCCCGGGACAGCCCGATGCCGCCCACTATGCGACGCCGACCGCGCACTGTCCGCACGGCCACATGGAGGTGTGCCCGCGCCTTTTGCCCGCACGCCGCTACCTCGCAGCTGGTCTGCAACCACGCCGTCGCCGCCTGTAGCCCGATAACAAAACGGCTGTCTGATAATGCCGCGTGTTCTTTGTGATGTTGCTACTGTGATGGTTGCTACTGCTGGTCTGAGACTCGATGTTTCCATTCGTCTTTTACATTTAAGGATTTGATAATGATAAGCTTAGTCCGAGCTTAGGTCGTTTATATCATTTGTTATATGGCATATTTTGGATCAAAGCAGTACGACACTGCCTCCTGCTCTTGTGATGTATGCTGGCAAGACGCAGGTTCCGGTCGCAGGTCACCCGGTTCCAATGTGGTCGGGCTGGCATGCGATAATGTGATGTTGTTTTGCTCGTCTCTGTGTTCCACACTTGATGATGTTTGTGAATCTAACCCACATTGTATAGTATTTTTGTTTGTTTGCGGCCGATGGCCTTGTAAGTTGTAACCGTGGCAATACAGTTTTTCCTGTATAATTCTCCAATATTCAAGCGTGGATGGATATCTTTCTGTAATCACGTATTCCCTTCTCCCAGTACAGTCAGAAAATATCAATGCAGTATTCATACGGATTATTCAAGCCCTGTATAATTATTTGAGGTGTGCCGAATCCGAAAGGCGACCGATAAAACTACTAGCGGAAAATGTGACATGATGCCATGGGTTTGTGAAAAGTTTAGGTACCACGTAGCATTCAACTTCCTGCATTTCTGTTTCAACTCAGTTTAACGTATTTCAACGAACATAACATCAAAAATGGCAGCCAGTACCGGCTTCACCCGTCACGGAGAAGGCTCAATAAATTGAGTGTAGATGCTGGCCGGCACTCAATTTTTTGAGCGCCAGCTGACTGTCGTCTGTCGTGGCGCTCAATTTATTGAGTAACGCGGTCCCGAACGACAAGTGGCGCTCAAAAAGTTGAGCGTCTTTAGGGCATTTTCTTTCCAAAAACACCGATATAAATTATCACGGCGAGTGTTCGAGAAGAAACCTTGTTGCTCTCTCTTGCCATTGATACCTTATTTGGATACGATATTTGCCGTAGTGTGACGCTAGAGGCGTTGTAAAATACCATCGTTTCGCCTATTCCTTCATAATGGGGCCCGCTCAATTTTTTGAGCGCTCAATAATTTGAGCTTTTCCCCCTTGTGCGTGGGACTGATATCATATATCAAGGCTATATAAACTCTGTATTGATATACCGTGCACTTGCATTATAAAAGAAATACTTCGTGACTTGTGGAGGCTCGTAAGCAGCAAAAAACGAATAAACCATCTGAGAAAGTGTCAGTGCGGTTTTATTTTGTTCCACGGGCATTTCAATTTTGATGGAAACAGTCAACGCGTGAACGTTAAATTTTATATTTTTTCCTATCATGCATCTGTTTTAAAGACCCTTCAAAGATTGTCTCTCTGAAATTTGCAATGCAAATAGAAATCAAAGCATTTTATAATTTATTTTGTTTGGTTGCCACAAATGATGATCACTTGCCTTTATTTTTTCTATGAGAAATAATTGAATAATAAACCTATGGAACCACTGGCATGTTTTCCACTTTATTGTTTAATAAGTGCAGATTGTATTTTGCATGGTTGGTTAAGTTGATATGCACAGCATGAAAAGTAGGTAGGTACCTACCTGCTGAAGGCATATCAATATTAAATGGAGAAACAATCACAAATCTTTTGTAGGCCAGACCCAGTCCATGGCATAATAGTGTTCTTACTCTTTTTCAAATTTTGATCTGCATGGTAAATGTAGCATTACCTATCAGTTGAGTTTTGGCTGACCATTCCAACTTTCATCTTGATTCTGGAAAGCTGTTTGTTGTGTGCTCTTTTTTCAGTTTCCAGACTGGGAAAAATCCAGGTTTTTGTTGGCATGTCCTGATATACTGAATATATCCACCATTATTTTGTTCAATGTTTTGTTTTGTTTTTTTGCAGAAATGTATGCATAATGCTCACATTTTTCAGATCATACATTTGTCAACATGGGTGATGTCATCAAGAGTGTTGAAGATGTTTTGAACAACAGATTGGAGGGAAATGAGCTCTCAGAGGTGAAAAGGATCTTGTATGGAAAAGACCTTGAGTGAGTAAATACATACTAGTTAGTATCATTCACATTTGCCATTTTCCAATCCATGACAGTTGACTAGGATATGTTTAAAAAAAATCTCACAATTTCATTCAAATTTGTTTGTCATATATGGCTGTTAAAATTGGAATGTGTGATTCAATTAGATGGTCCAACAGTAATGTAGGCTGACAATGGTGTGTTCACAGTTGCTCATTGATGATTGATATCATAACAGTGATATGCACATGTGACATGATATGATATGCACCACATTTTCATCTGCACAAATGGCGCCATTTCTCCTGACAGGAAGCTGGATCTGCCAACTGAAGCCAGGGCGGAGGCGGAGAAGGGCTCGTTCGAGCTGGCCGGCTACCGGTTCACCGCCCTGACGGAGTCGACCCGGCCGCCCCGGTAAGTTCACGCTCATGTCACGGATGTATGAACGACCGCTGCATGTCAAACCCCTGTGATAAATGGCAACTAACGGTCTAACGGAGGTCGAGGCAGGCGCAAGATGCTCAGGCGAAATCGATCGCGTTTATCGTGACACAGCTCTGCATGTACATGTTGTGTACGCACATTCCTTTTTACAATCAGCTGTTCCAGCATCCACCATTGGTGTTCACTCCTTGGCTTAGGGATCGACGTCTCGATTAGCTGCCGCTGCATTATCGTACGTACGTCTTCCTCACCCTAGTCTTATATACGTCCTAGGGAAGTGTGTCTCTTCTCTCTCACCCATCCCCTCTGCGCCCGTCCAGCGTGGTGCGAGCTGCCGTGATCCAGAATCAGATCGTGCTGCCGACCACGGCGCCGGTGGCCGACCAGCGGCAGGCCATCTGGAACCGGGTGGCCGAGATGATAGCCACGGCTGCCCGCTGCCGGGTCAACGTCATCTGTCTACAGGAGGCCTGGAGTGAGTGGACTGCGGGCGGCCAGTGGCAGGGATGAAAGTGTCAACTTAAAGGGTGGGCAGAGGAGCCTGAGTGGGAGTGGAGTCCTCGCTTTTGTGGTCGTGACTGAGGGAGTTTTTCTCTGAAATAGGGTTAAATTAGTCTGACTTGGTTTGATTTTGTAGGCTGCTTTGTCAGTTTGTAACTAGTCATAATCGCCTTACGGGACACTGGTGGTCTTTGGACACATATGTGGTCATCGTTGTTGCGTCGATCACGCATTGTGTCACCACGCTGTCAAACATGTTGTCTGGGTGCCGTTAAAGCTGCCCTGCTCAGTCCGGAAGCGTCCACTTGACGCTGTTTGCGATGTGACCTGGCCTCGTCCCGTCCCGCAGCCATGCCGTTCGCGTTCTGCACCCGCGAGAAGCAGCCTTGGTGCGAGTTCGCCGAGAGTGCCGAAGATGGACCGACCACGCACTTTTTGCAAGATGTGAGCACGCTTTTGTTCATAAGGGGAGCTATTTATACGATTAAAATAAAATGCACTGCACAGATAACTTGCAGTATTAAATTTGAAAGTTCAGGACTCTATGAGTCGAAGAGTCTAGATTAAGCATCCAGCACAATATTCCTCCTATTGTTTTAGCTTATATAAAACCTGGCTCGTCGATTTTCAGGGGTCATAGATTGCAATTTGTAAGCGCCTTCGCATTGATAAGCTATCGTTGTTGCTACCCGTGCGCCCGACAATCATAGCGTTTTTTTCGGTACTTGCGTGTATAGCGAGCTGCTTAGACATGGGTAACTTGTTACATTAATGTTTTTTTACCTGGTACCTAGCTAGCTCTGTAATAGATGTGTAGAGGTCATGTGTGGCTTATGCATGCTAGTGTGTAGAATCCTGTTGTTGATCATTTATAATTATCGGTAGCCATCCGTAGCGTTCTCTGCTTCGCTTTAAACCCCGTTCAGAACCATCTGTCCCAACTGACGCCGTCCGTCCCTCTCCCGTCCGCAGCTGGCCTCCAAGCACAACATGGTGATCATCTCGCCGATCCTTGAACGTGACGAAGCGCACGGCGACGTTCTGTGGAATACGGCCGTCATCATCTCCAACCACGGCCACGTCATCGGCAAGTCGCGCAAGAACCACATCCCGCGCGTGGGCGACTTCAACGAGTCTACCTACTACATGGAGAGCAACCTGGGACACCCCGTGTTTCAGGTGGGTGAGGAGACGCCGGCTGGCAGGACACACATTTGGGAGCCATAGGGCGTGTTCGCTGTCTCCCGGGCGACGGAGATTCTACGTCGTTCGGCCATTCCCGTTCGATAGCCGCAGCCCAGCCCCGCCGACCTTGAACGCCATTGGCCGGACGACGTAGAATCTTCATGGTCCGGGAGACATCGGGTCCGGCCATAACCTTCGCAGTGCTCACCACCAAATCGCACCCCTGTCGGCGTACTATGTAGTTACTTCACGACTCGCCAGGTTTTATTGTAGGCGGCGCTTTTCGCCAAGCGGTGAGCCAGTGTCGTGCCTTCGGTAACCATCGTCCGCAGTCGCTGTGTTCGATCAATCTGTCCCAGAACTAGCGAACACTCTGTCTTCCCTCAGACGGAGTTTGGTAAGATCGGCGTCAACATCTGCTATGGCCGTCACATGCCGCAAAACTGGATGGCCTACGGTCTGAACGGCGCCGAGCTGGTGTTTAACCCTTCCGCCACCGTCGGAACGCTCAGCGAGCCCATGTGGGGCATCGAGGCGCGCAACGCCGCCATCGCAAACTCCTACTTCACCTTCGCCATCAACCGGGTCGGCACCGAGACATTCCCCAACGAGTTCACCTCGGCCGACGGACGGCCGGCGCACCGCGACTTTGGCCACTTTTACGGCTCGAGCTACGTGGCGGCTCCGGACGCGAGCCGTACGCCGGGTCTGTCGCGCCTCTCGGACGGTCTGCTGGTGGCCGAGCTCGACCTGAACCTGTGCCGCCAGGTGCGCGACAGGTGGGGTCTGCGCATGAACCAGCGGCTGGAGCTGTACGCTGACACGCTGGCTCGCGCCGCCAACCCCGACTTCCAGCCTCAGGTGGTGTATGACTACTCCGGTTAGGTGGGGCTGTCCACTCCACCGACCCGACCGACTGACGAGGGACTCCGGACCAGCACTTCGAACTCGGACTCTGAACTGGATACGCGGATAGGTGTATGACGCCACGGCGCACGGCTGTTTGCTGCCTCTGAGACTGCCATTCAACTCGCAGAGATTGCTTCCAGGCCTGCCACTCATGTCACAGCTAGACCGGTGCGCGTTCAGTGGGCTCATAGACGGCAGTTATTTTACGCTCATTCAGCCTAGATTCAAGATGGGTATGTATGGGGAAGATATGAGGTAAGGGGTTGGATAAGGAAACAGAGGCCCTACAAAAATACCCCAGCTTTGTGGCCGGCCATGCGACGCGTGCAGTGTAGTGAAAACGAAAGATCTGATGTTATTTCCAGTTGTCAAGGAGCGGAATGTATGCATTTTATGACAGTGTCAACTTTTGACTTTCCAGCATGGCATTAGCATAACAATACGCCATTGTTAAAATGTTATGAGGAGATTCTCCATCTAGATGAGTCTCTAGCAGTTTAGCTCAATAACCACTCGAGGGATATTTGTCCTTAGCTTGTATTTTGTACACTGAATGAGCCCATTCCGAGGGTCAAGGGCATTCAGAACAACTATCTCGCTCGAGAGCGTCAGCGAACTGATAACGAGGACGTACGATATTGGGACCAAAACTGTAAATGGCCATGACAGTGGTTTTCTCAGTTGACTAGATGTGATGTGCCATGAAATATGACCCGCTATCTGATGTGAGATGTTACCTGGATCATATCCCGTAACTGCGAGGCAGGATAGGGCTTACAGCTCGTTCGTTTTGTCGGTTTAGTGTGGGTAGATCAGGTGGGAGCTTCCTGGTATAACCAATAACCATGCATGCGGTGTACTTTTCTATACTGTGCATGCCTCGGGGATTGCTGCGACTAATAATGGGACCTGTTTGAATTGAAATGTGATGCGAAATTGGGTAGTCTACAAGCTCAAGTTGAAGCGTCCTTGCTGGAATTACGTGCCATCTTTGCTAAAGAGATCTTGATGCGTGAAATCAAATGTCAACTTAGGACAAATCGTGCTAGCCACGCTTACCGAGATATTCCGATGTGATATTTCGAGGCTCAACGATCTGAAGTTTTCCTACATTCATGTTGATTGGTCGTGGGTAGGACATGAGGTGATAGGTCGCGATCTTTCAGCAACTTTTGTATCAACTGTAGTGCTGAATTATCCAGAAAGGTCCTGGATGCTCTATGCAAGTGGGTATATATTCGTATATTAAAGGCATTTATTATACTTTATTATATTTGCTATTATCCGAGAATGTTTACTGATGCAGCGGTATTATAACGTGCAATGATGTGCGCAATGATGCATGTGTGCAAGCGATTCATGAGTTTCATAATAGTGTACCATATGGCTGTTACACTTCATTCTGCTCATGAACTTGTAGAAATAAATAGAACAATGCAAGCAATACGCTCTGTTTTCCTGTTTCCACATTTTACAGTAATCAGCAGGCCGAAGTCTGAAAGAGTAGGTACCGCGGGGAGGGATGATCAGGCAGGGCACTCGAACATGCTGTTCGAGTGCCCACCTAAAAGCTACATTAGCATCTTTGTTACGGGCATAATAGTTGTTGATTCAGGATGTGGCATTCGGATTGAAGTAGGTATTCAGGATGTGTCAAAGCATAGTCAGATAACAATTCATATATGGTATCTATGGTCATAGCAATCGCAAATTGATGGAGCGGGTGATCATACACGATTGTTTTGAGCCATTTCGGTCCCGCTCTTTATGACTGTCGTCTCCAGGAAGAATTTCGGAATGCATGCCCGTCCGTCTTTCGCTGAATGAATGCGTTATGGTGTAAGAAGTTAAGTGTAGTTTATTCGCTAATACTCGTATGCCTACCTACTTTTTCCGACTCGCTTACATATTATCGCTTATTTCGTGAATTGTATTACATCAGAGGTCTCAGCGGAAGCCGCCTCCTCAATCGATATCTGGCTGGGCACCTTTCATTTGAGTCTTGGAGAGGCCACTGAACGGAGCACAAACTGCAGCAGACAGGTTTTACAGGGGTGGCTCGGGACCTCATCACGCCATACCATCCACGTGTGGCTATGCATTCAATATGATCTCAAACGGTTGTCCCCTTCTCAGGTCCTTGCAACTTATGTCGAGGTAGGATTGTATGTAGAAATGGACAGCGAGCAGCAGGATAAAGAATCGGGATATATATCCCGATTCTTTAAAATGACGTTTACGATCTAAAATTTCAATCGAATATTAAAATTTGACTTCAAATGTGTAATGATATATTGCCTAAGCGACAACCAGAGCTACGTTGACCCCACATATGTCGGCTGTCGCTGCTGCTCTAAAAAAAGGTAAACTTTGATTTTTAAAAACTCGTTGCCTCAAATAAACGTGTCGATCCGAATTCCGAATGTTACCAGCTGCTCCTAACCATTTCGCCAGCAAGACCGTGCCACCTTTTCCAGATTGGGCACTGGGCAATGAATGTTTCAGGACGATCATTTCTTATTTCCAGTTAACTTACATCTGAAGACGGAATTCGCTTCGGGGCACCGCTTCATCTGACTTGTTATTCGAATCGCATAATCAAAGAACGCCTATGTCGTTTTCAGCGCATCCCGAGGCTGTCTAAGACTCCGCTATTCCTGATGCTGTGACGATTCATAAGCGCATTGGAGTCATATAACGCCCCACTAATCTAATATTTCCGTTTCCGGGCCCGCCTGCTCCAGACCCGCCCAGTATCCCATGTCCCCGCCGCTGACTGACGCATGTAAGTCGGCACACTCGCCGGCCCGGGAGACGGACGGACGGACCCCGGACGGTCGGTCACGACTCGCTCCGTTTTGGCCTTATGATGCAATCACGGCCGCCGACCGTCCGTCGACAAAGGAAGAGAAGCAGGCCAGTCTCCGATGGCTTATCACGGCCGTCATCGCGCTCCGGGCCGGACCTGCCGAATGCCTCCCCGGACCGGTTATGGCGGCCGCGGGCCGGTCTCGCTCGCCCGGCGCCGCTTATGGTGAACAGCCAGCGAAACGCTCCTGCAACGATTTCCAAGTGCTTGTTTTTCACACAGAACGAATGTTTTTACACGAGTCGCATGCTTTACGAAATCAATACCTACTTATGAAAGTTTACAAGACTGGAAAGTTGACTGCGCCAATAGGCATTAGGTATGTGTCATGCTTTTACATTGAACTCGATAGCAAGTCCATAGTTTTAGAGTAATATCGCTTTATAAAGTCTTGCCCTGAGTTCAGGTGCGATGCTAGAGGACAGGACCGAATCCCCTTTGTGGTTCACCTGTGACCTGACAGCACCACTCGGCCCAGATTCTCGTTCGGGCTGGTCGCCAGTCCAAGGCTGTTTCACATAACTCGTCCGGCCAAATGGCGTCGGTCTATCGGGTATTCCGTCGGCGCGCCGCCGGCTCGGTAATGCATTCCAATGGCGGCCTCTAGGGCCGACCGGGCCGACCTCGGAGTCAGGGCTCCTCCGCTTCCGGAGCCTCCGACACCGACTCCAACATTCGGTGCATCAGAGTCGCATATGAACCCGCGTATACCATCAGGGCCTTCAGCAAATCTGGCGCAAAATGACCGAACGTTTTATGCGCTGAGGCATTTGTAATCTGCTTTTCACATAAAGGACGACCTACGGACAGTCCGTTAAAGTATGTACATTGTACGTTGTTACTTTATTATACAATACATGGTCTTATTAGGCCACTTGAAATATTGACGGGCATTAGGTGATTTAGGCATTTATGCCCAGGTTTGACAGAGCTAAATACTTGTCTAAATAGGCAGCACTCGTTTAAGGTTTTGGCAATGTGGTGTGTTTGCATTTTGCAATGCAACTACGTCTGTCGAACGTTTAAACGCTGATACGAACGTTACGAACTTTAACGTAAACGTTTAACGTTTAACGATACGAACGTTTGAAGTTCACTCGGATCTAATACGTACGACTAACTTCAGGATCAGGCTTAGCGATCAATATGCGGTTACTGACGAAAAATGCAGTTGCGTGTATAAAACAAACTTCTAAAAATAGTAATTTTGCGAGTTCTTGTGAAAACCTTGAAACACATATTGGTAATGTTTGCGTGACTTCTTAGATCGGTTGCTTGCAACCATGTTATTTGTAAAGCGGATGATTCCAAATAGCAGTTGTCAGTTATCAGTCCAGCCCTCAACGGTGTGAATACCTATGACTCACTTTTGGGCCGCCATAGACCCAAATTCCTTCAAACACGTAAACGAACCGTCTTCTGTGTAAAACCATTTGATAGGAATTAGGTAAAGGCGCCTCAATATTATCAGTTTACTGCTAAGGACGCCTAACAAGGCCACCCAACAAAGGCTGGACCCATTTTATGGACCTGTCCCTTCGGCGAGTGAATGTGGAGAAACTGGGTCATGATATCCATATCATGTCGCGCCTGTCGAAGACACCGCAGCCGGCGCCGGATCGATTCCAGCCGGCGGCGAAACTTTCACTTCCCGTCTCTGCTCCACGTGGGGCGGCCCCGGAGCCAGTGGTTAGACACAGGCTCTCGACGATATGTCGTCAGACACGGACGGTGCTAATACGGCTCGCGCCAGCCGCCGGTTCGCCGGCGAGGGATTTTATGCATTATCCACCGCCCAGCGGCCCACCCAAGCCGTTTGTTGTCCATGTAAATAATTTATGCTATTGCGTTGCGACTCACTGCCATCGGACGACGGACATCGAAGCTACGGAGCGAGTGCGAGTAAAATGACTAGGCGCAAGATGACTAATAAAAAGTCATCCCGCTTTTTATGATCCCTCGGTTGTCATTCCAAGAGAGCTCGGCCAATCGATTACATTGACGTACCCGTTTGGGAGCTCAGCATGGGACGCATTTGACCGCGGGAGTGCGCCAGGCCTGAGGGGTGTTCACGGGCACCGCACACTGCTGCGTGCGGTGTGTGCGGTGCGTCCAGCAGGCGTGGGGGTAGGGGATGGGTAGGCGGCTCTGACGTCACGGCTGCGTGCGGTGGACGGTCCGCTGTGGCCAGTCCCGACCGGCCACAGCGGTCGCTGTGTGCGGTGACGGAATGCTGACGTAGGGACGCAGTGGGCGGAGCTTGGAGGCTGTGTGCGGTCCAACCACACACAGGGCCCGTGAACAGCCCTCAGGTAGATAGGCCCGGAATCTGCGGATGGTAACACCCGGTCATTACCATCGGGTCATAAACACAGTCGGTCCCGTCCCCCACAGATCACCGCCGGACCGGCCGGGACCAGCCGGCCGTCCGCCGACCGCCTGCTACAAATAAGGCACTGATCGCCACGGTACCTAATACTTTACCTATAGAGCCTTGGACCGATCGTGCTGGGGAAGGAGAGACAGGTGAGAGGTACCTGTAATGTTCTGGATTTCGGTAACGTGCAGGAAAGCTATACGGTCTCGTGTCTTTGAAATGAATCAATCAAGCTATCTTGGATTTATAAGCAATCTCATAAATTTTTTTGCATTCCTTTATGTTATGAGGGTCCCTAGGCCAGAAGCTCGGCTTTGTATGTGTGCTTAGACAAATGAAAAAAGGAGCACACTCTAGTCTCCCGAGCCAAATTTATTCCATCACGTCAAAATATCATGCTTTGATTCCTTTTTTTGTAGAATAGGCTTTCGCACCGGACCGGAAGCCGAGCTTACCTGCATAAATAGGTACATACCTGCCCTGCCTACTATGTATACATTCCATTCGAACTGGAATCGTAAATAGGCACTCGCGACTCACGACATTTGTTCAGAAATCACATCTGCCTATCCAGTTACGTGCGAATCAGTAACTTGCAAGTATCTTTCATTGCAAGTTATCAATCCCTTTATAATTTAAACGTTTCGAACGTTTCTCTGCCGTTAGTCGAATTATTAATTTAAACGGTATGTTAGTCGGTACCCGAGCATATTCGGCGGTATGCTGTGCGCATGTGTAATGTGAGCCTTTCGACTGGTTTGTGTGAATGTGATATAGCGGCGCACCATACACGCTCAAATCCAAACCATGTTCCTCAATCACAGGGAAGTCTCACATTAGCCGTGAGATTCTCCCGCGCTCATCCGTTGGGCCCGCCCGGGCGGTCTCACGGCAGTTGGCAACCATCCGGCCGATCACTGAGTCACCGGATCTCACGGCCGCTCGCGCAGCCGGTCGGTTCGTGAGCGATTATACCGGTGAGATCCTGACGCGATGGTCTCGGCTCACCACTCGGTCACGGCGTTTGGGCATTGCAGAGGATGTTTGGAATCGTGAGCCGCACGTATGCCGCTCTGCAGATCAACGCCAAACAATCTCCGCCGCGGTGTGCGATGCAGGTTGCCTGGAACATTATTTAGCGGGCTGTTTTCTATTCTTTTGCGTCACATGTCGTGCGAATTTGGATGTGGAGGAATACACTTTTCATTGGATAACAAAATATTGTGTTGATTAGGAGCGAGTCCCATTTAAGCATACAAAAGATCTCAACTTTGTCTGCGCTAAAATAAGAGACAGTTAAGTTTGTCGCACACCGTGCCAGTTGCATATTTACGTCTGGACAACGAGTTGCGGGGAAAAGTGCTGATTCTGTTGCAGTTTTAGGAGCCGGTGATTAGGCTGGACTTTGGGGTTACTTTTTCGTTCCGATTCACGTATTTCATAGTGTTTGGCTTTTGAATATTTTAGTTCTTTCAGATAAATATTAATCACCTTACAACTTTTGTAAAAACGTTTCATTTTTTATAAGCCGACATTCAGAGTCCTAAAAATACATCAGCACTACAATCATTGTAAACAAACAAATGGAGCACCACTTGGCTCTGTTCCAAGGCGCTTTTTAAGTTTATCTGGTTGTTTCCGTACTCTTGTACGTCGTTTTGTTGGATGTTTTGAATCCTTTAAGATTGACTTACATCATATTTAAGAAGCATGTGACTGAAAACAATCCGAAGTATCCAGGAAGCTGACAGAGGTCCTGACTCCTGAACAATATCAATATCAAGTTGAACTTGAAGTTATGAAATTTTGGTTGATAAACACAAGTTGATCGGGCTCATATGTCAGCAAGAAAAAGTAAAATTAAAAGAGCTTATTGGCCAAAAACAAGCTATAATATTGCAGACCTTGGAGCAATACTGAAGAGCACGCTGAGCAGGATCATGCCAGAAAATGTTGACTGATGAGCGCATATTGATGTATTGGTATGAATATTGAATAATAACTTACAACAGCAAGATAAATTAGTGCAAACTATCAAGTTAAAAATCTACAGTGAATGGACTTGGGCAGTTTTACTATGCTTAGATGCTATGCAGATTGTAATGTGCATCAGGTACCTACTCAGTGTCTGGCAAATGAAACATGCGATCATTCCATTGCTACTGGAGGAGAAAGCTTGGATCACTAAATCCACTTTATGTTGATTTTGATGTTAATCATCACTGTATTTCTTGAAAAAAGGATTGTAGTAAAATTGTCAATGTGACAATCCATGCAACGATATGATCATATAATGTGTTCATAGTCATTCGTGATAGTGATTATTGGTCCAATATACAATGGCAAAGCTCTCAGTCTCAGTGTTTCTTCCTGTGGATGGCCAGCAGTGACTCAGAGCTTAGAGGTATTAGTTTTCTTCACAGGGCTGGGATAAAAAGTACTGAGGGTAATCTTCCACCAAGGAACTCTACTTTGACATGGTATGAGATGTAGGCACAAGTAGGTAGGTGCTTAGTTCCCATAGTCAGTAGTTGTGTATGCTTAGTCGGGTTAGCTTAGATTAGATTGTTAGTTTTTTAATTCGCCAAGTGTCCATAAAAATGTGACCTGAGCAATGAGCATACCTGACTAACCTGACAGCTGACCTAACCTCAATCATCACACATATTTGCAGCCTACCCAAGACCTGCATAGCAGTAGCACCCAGTTATAGGTAGGTACTCACCCTAACTCAATCTTACCTGCTAACCTTCAACTTGCCAAAAGTTAGCTCACATTGCCAAGCTGCATCCAGGGAAACAGTCAACTGAGGAACTGGCTCATTGGGTGGCTGGTGTTAGTCTGTGCATTTAAAGTGTTTCTTCTCTGAAGCTGCTCTGCACTGCTGTATGTCATGTTACTGCTCAGAAAATGTGGGAAATGATTACTAAGCTACTTTGGCGCTTTGTTAATGCTCGAGACAAGTACAGATCCTGCAGGGTACAGCTATGAGTTAGATGCTAGGTGAGTATGTTATGTGCATGTGCTGTTCCCTGTTTGACCATAGTAAGTATAAAAACAAGCACAGGGTCACAGTTATATTCATTTGCAGGCACAAAAATGTTTTGATTAACAGGACAGGTATACAATATATCCTCTGTCCTTGGGGGATCTTGCTGCCAAGTTGAGGTACAATGACTGGACTTCAGGATTGATCAACCTTTTCTTAGCCACTGCTTATACACAAGAAAGACCAAATGCTTGTTTGTTTTGATTTACAGGACATGTATCAGTATAGGTACAATACATCCTCTGTCCTTGGGGATCTTGCTGCCAGGTTGAGGTACGATGACTGAACTTCAGGATTGATCAACCTTTTCTTAGCCACTGCTTATGTATATACGAGAAAGACCAAATTGAAATGCTTGTTTGTAAACTGCGTTGAAAATTTAATGATCCACCTTCAATTCTGACATGAAGGCACAAATGAAATAGTTCCGTCACCTTTTGGAATACACAAAGCAAAATATTTAATAAATTTTAGTGGATGGACAAGAGCAATTAGCATAGCCCCCCCCCCCTCAAGTTAACTTCTGGCACTGATGAACTGAACTGATGAATAATTACACTGACGCTTATTCGCTTAATATTTTGTAACAAACGCGCTAAAACTGCAATATAACAGCACTATATGCTTCTTGATAAAATGCATTAGTAGTAAAAATTTAGTCCTGATGGCATTCATTCTTGGTGGAAACGTAATTAAAAAATATTTTGTAGTAACTATTAAATTCCGGCCGAAAACAGTGCACGGTTTAAAAAAGAATCATTCCAATGACGGTCCATTTTTGCGGTCCTGAAATCGCCACTATTTCCGGCCTCTCCAACGCAACTCGTTGTCCAGACGTAAATATGCGTACCAGTTTTGGTCAGACGGATTTCGTCGTTCGCTCGCGCTCGCCAGGGTCGCTGCCCCGCTTCGCCTGTGAATGTGTTGAGCCGACAGCTGCTGCATTTCTCCCAGATTCCGTTAATTTGGGCCTGTTTGCAAGATTTCTGCCGCTGATATCTACAGTTCCTGTAAGTACCCTATTGGTGATCCTGAAGGTTTCGTTGCGCTGAGCCTGAGCTCAAAGCCCAGGCTGGGTCAGGGATTCTGATCCAAGCAAGGGCGCCAACTGCCTATCAGGCCGATTTTAGTTTCCCCTTGCTGTTATGAGTATATTTGTCATTTCATGAATGGTATGATAGAATGTACATTATAAAGACTCTAGCGTTGTGGTGGCACTGCAGTTAATGGTGCTGTCAGGGCTGAGTGTTTCTCTGGTCATACCGTTTACCTACCTAAAGGCTAAATGCTTGCTTTCCTACACTTTTCTGTAACTAAATCATGATGAAGCTGGCCTGGGATTGAATGCATTTGTCTGAGCCGTGTTCTATAGCCAACTTTTTTGACAAAGGGGGAAATTTCATTGGAAAGTCAAACGGCCTTTGGTTTTTGGCTTTCGCCAATCGGTTCCGCTGAGGTCCCTCCCGACGTGACCCCTGCCCCGGGCCGAAACCCAAGCCATACATCGGTTTCCATGGCAACACCTTGGTGTAAGTGGCTGTAGCAATATTTGTGTGATTTCGTGATGATTGACGGATCCATTTCACTGGTGCGACTATCCAGTGCGTTACATGGGGACTAGGCGACCGATGTCGTTTGAGACTGTTGTCCTCTGAAAGTAGGTTGCCTGCGGATCGCACGACCAATAACGAGCATATCGGATGGACGATCGAAACCTCTATCGTCCGATCTGTTGTCAATTAAGATTCGTATTTTTTTGTTAACAAGGAACACTAACCGAATGATTCACATAATTCAAGGCATACCTGCAACCCATTTCTTTTCGGTAATTGTCAGAGCAAGGCTGTCGATCAGCGATCGTTGCATACCAAACATGTTACATGTATTGATATGACATATAAGTGCATGTATGGCCTAAACTTAGGTATATGTCTCCGGCTCCGAAGGCCCTTTGACTTATATGTCACATCTGCTATTTGATAATCCTCAACATGTATTGATATGTTTAGCGTGGTGTCTGGTGAGTCCTTGACAGTTCACTTACCTGAATTATCCGTATACTTAATCGTTTGACATACCGCAGAGTGCAGTGTTAGCGAAACGTTGAGACTCGTGATGATTCGCGAACGGGCGAAACGGGTGAACACGAACGGTCTTGCTGACCTCAGCACCCGTCTATTTGTTGGCATGTTTCAGCGGCGGTTCTTCGTATTTCTCCCCTATCACCGGCCGTGTCCGGCATCTCCAAATGTTTGACTCCCCGTTCGACCCCGCGGTGCCGTTGGTGGAGGCGCCGGTGATGCCTCCTTTCAGCCGCTGTTTGGATGGCGCCTGGGCCTGGCTCGTTTGTTAGTGTTGGACGGCCGGGGCCATGCCGAACCGCACGTGCTGGCAGCCGCCGGTGCCGGCCGGCCGCTCAGCCCGGCCGCTGTGCGATCTGCATTGATCCCGTGACTCAGAGGCCCGCCAGAACGGCCGCCGACTGGTTTCATGCCCTAATCGCGGCCATATTTTCAGCGGCGTCGTCGTGTAGGGAAAACCGTGCCGTGTCCAGGCTGCATGCCCGCTCCACAACACGTTTTGACCAATTTTCCCCGTGAGCGCCTAACACCGCGCCAAGGCCGCGTCAGGCTAAAGAGGATGTGTCTGTCTTTTGTAGAGCCGGCCAAGCTAGCGACCATCTTTAGTGAGGATGAGTTTTGCTTATGCAGATTTATGTAAAATGGTTAAAAGTATGTTGCTGAGCCCTAGACTCGTGTTTATCCGTATTCACTATTTTACTTTTGAGTTGGAAATCTACCTCTTCACTTTCTTGGCGGATATCTTTTGCTATGTGCCTTTCACACTAAATCATAAGAATCCATTACGCAATCTGTGCGTGTTTTGGACTCGTGGATGGCATCAGCTTCTAACGATAGCAATCAGGACAGGCCTACACTCGAGCCTCGAGCTCTCAATCATGATTCCTCTCTCCCGCCGTGGACATAAGATAGCGCCCCACTCTCTCTGATATCCAGTAGGTATCGTGACGGCGCGCGATTACGTCGACTTGCGCTGAGATGACCGGCACTCCATCTCTCCATCTCGAGTAGCTCGGAGTATCTGCCGTGACCTGACGGCACGCCCGCGGCGACCACGGCCGGCGGGCCGGCGGCCTCCCGCTCCCGGGCCGTGTTTGTTGACCTACCGGGGTCTGGCCGACCTGTCGGCGTCGCATCGTTGCCGTGACGTCAGTCCCTGGCCACAGCCTCTCCATAAACACTGGCACTGCGCGAGGCTGGCGCCGGGAGGGCGGGGGAGGGGGACAAATCGGATAAATCCTACTGTCGAGTGTCGACCTGCGACCACTTGTCAGCGTGTTTGTCTCAGATGAAGATAAGCGATATGTTTCTTTATCCCGTTGGTAAAGGATTCCCATTTGCTAGGCGAACCTCGTTTTTGGTCACCTGAAGATTCACTTGCCAGGACAACTGTCGGAGTTGGCCCCTGGTCTGGATGAGCGGAAACCATCCACTATGTCTTTGGCTGCCACCCTCGAGGCAGGACGTACCTCGTCACTTCATGACGTCATTATCACGTCACGGTGGCGATCGAGGCCCGATATGCGTCTGTGAACATCGCGTGGCGCTTCAGCAATCTAGATGAGGGTCAGGAGGATGTCATCGGGTCATTGCATAGTCTAAAGTGACGCACCAATCGCGAAGCCAAGACGAGTGCGCTGGTGTGGTGCTGGTGCAGAGAGTCGCTGCGTGATGCCGGTGACCTTCGTGCCTGCGTGCTCCCCTCCCAGCCTGAGGCGGGGGCACGCGCTGTGCAGTGGTTGTCGAGCCTGAGAGGAGCTCGCTGGGGCTGTCGGGCCGGCCGGACTGGCTCCGAGAGGCCTGGTGGCGGTGTGACCTTGGTCGGTGGCCGGCTGGGATGGCCGTGGAGCTGGCTGCGGCGCTGGCTGCTACCCGACGGTGCCCCTCCGCCCGCGCCGTGCAGCGCAGCCACAGCACAACTCCAGCACCCTGTCTCCAGGTGGACGGCCGCGATGGCGATATTGATTCTGGAACGATGGTCCTGATCGATGAATGTATGTCATGCGGCTGTCAGTCCTCTTCTTCCCTGTTTGGATCTGTTTTACTCTCTTGTATCATGTATGAATCTGGTCTGGGCCTGGTCTGGTATGATCGTCTGGTCTGAATTTTGAACGTCATGAACTGACATGGCCTACTTTAGGCTACGTGTGATCTGAGCTGATCTCAGCAGCTTTGATGTGGCCTGGTGCTTTGTGATGTGGCCTGTGCGCCTGTGCCTTTGAAGGACAACGGAGGACTGTTGAACTTCAGACGTGCCAAACTTGTGTGTTGAGCTTGGGGCGTGTGCACTTTGCAGTTTGACAAGCCCTCCGATTATCGTGTGAGATCATCAGTCCACCCATCAGCTCGACTGCTGCTACTGTACCCGTCGGCTCGAACTGTGGAGCGCGCCTGCACTGAGGACAGCCCGTAGCCACTGCACCGCCGCTCGCGTGCGCGCTAATCTCACGGACCCCACAGGTCCGCCACTGCTCCGGCCGTGGTCCGACCACGGCAGCCCGGCTCACTCCGGCCGCTCGCTCGGGCGCCGCTCAATTTAGCGGGAATGTGCGCCGGCCAGCCCGGTTCGCTGGAAGCCTGTGATTAGGTGCGTCGTCCCGCCGGCGGCCGGCTGCTACACGGCCGGTTAGTTGTTCGCGGGCGGGCGCTGCATTGCCTGAGGCGACTGGGGTCCGCCTGCACACCCGACCGACCGACCGACCGGCCGGCCGGCGTCAGTCCGCCCCCTCAGACCAGGTGCAGTGCCGCTAACTGCCCCGCTGCTACCCCTGCTGCTGCTCGATGCACGATTTTCGATACTCGATGCTGCTCGATTCTCGATGCTCGATGCTCGATGCTGCTTGATTCTCGAATCTCGATGCTCGATGCTCCATCCTGTCCAGTGTCCACCCAGCCGAGCATGTTTCGTCCTCAGCGGCTGGTCTGATGTGTGCAGATAATCCCTGCTTATGCATTCAAATGCAAATGGATGAACTTTGCCTGATTGAAGTTCACTGTCTCGAAGTTTGTTTTCATTGTTTCATTTCGGGAACTGAGTCAGCCGGTGGACTGGAACGGCTGGTCGATGGCACCTGGTGGGCAGGACCGGCGCGGCGTCGGCGCGACCGGTACGACCCGTTGACCTTTCGTGGGAGCAGGCTGCGAGGAATGGCAGCGCTCGCGGAGCGCCGTCATCTGAATCCCGCCACCGGCTCTGAGGGCGACTGGGCGGGAACGGTGGATTTTAGATGGAGAGAATTGTCAGTTGGTGGGTTAGTAACATACTCGCACGCATGACGGGGTGTCGTAGCTAGAGTCGTATTAGTGCAACTGAAACCAATTACAGCTACATCACCACGGTCCGTCGGCCGTGACAAATTGAATTCCAAGTGCGGTGGAAATCTTGGAATGGCTGCAGCAATATCGTACTGATTGACTCACGCCCTACCGGGAACTGTGGACTGCACTACGATTGGCCTGTTCGAACTTGGCCACACGGCCTCAACAGTTGGCCGTGGCTGCGTCCTTCAGACTGTTGGCTGGTCTTTCAGTCGGGTGCCAATCACAGATCCAATCTGGACCGTTCGATTGACCTTCCTGGACGAGTTATGGCATCGATGCGTCACGGGGCTCAGTTCGACCCTGGATTCCAAGCATCGCCAGCATGGCGTCACTGCGGGAAGCTATGAATAGGACGCGGAAATTACTGCCATCCGAAGCGGCCCGGAGTTGGGCGACGGCGCGTCATCGTCGCGCCCGAGTCGCTGCTGTCTGGATGAGTCCGCTGAGCCGATGTAAGCCAGCGCCTCGGGCGGCCGCGCGATTCCGGTCAGGCGTCGCCGGCTGGCCGGCAACATTACGTCAGCCCCAGGCGCCGGCTGATTCGGCCCGGCCGATCGGCACCACTCACGCGCGACCCCGCTGACCCCCGTGACCCCGGCGGCGCCGAA